GGGAGAATGTTCACAGTCACACGGTTGTTCTCATTAATTATTTTGAGTTGTTGTTATTAGCAGCCTTTTCCTCAGAGAGAGAAAGCCGCACTTATCAAGTCTAATTATACAAAAATATAACAATTTCTATGAAATATCTCATGCATTTTAAATGTGGCAGCAGTCTAGGGTTTCGTTGGCATGCACTCATGTTACCGCAGAGCCATTAAGGGTTCCTCTAATTTAGAATTAAAGGGAATTAAAATGCACAGATATCTCACATTCTTGTATGTGTTTGTGAAACTTAATCACAGTAGGAGGAAAACTCCCCCGCAGTGTGTGATCCTGTGCAATGTTAACACCTCCTAGTGCTGTTTCATTTTCAAAGAGCCTTTCATGTTCTCAGGAGTGAGAAAAGGTGTCATACCCTCTGTACTGCTGGATCAAAGCAGCACAAATCCACAAATGTCTGTGAACCAGCCAGTCTTCCATCCCTAACCCCATTGTCCCGAAAAAAACTACAACAAAGCTCCCCAAAATATTTTACATTTTTGGTTTTCAATATAAAATCATTTGGGTTATGTAATTCTCAGATAGGCATGTAAAGAAGAGAAGAAAACAGAATTGGGGCACATTTCAGGCTGAGCTTGAACCTCATATGCCATAGCTCAACTCTTCTGTTTATTTCTTCTGCGCTCCACAGAAGAGATTTTAAAATATATTGTGTTTTTTTGTTGTTGTTTTTTTTGGATTTCGAAACACGTGACGTTCTACTTGGAGCTGTTCACACCCTTGGACTCAGAACTATTGCACTATCAATGCCTAAACATAGTGCCTAATAAATCTGAGGTGGTCAGGTGGTAGTGGTAAAAGTTGTAGCGCTCAGTGTAAGTTGTCACTTGTAAGTTGTAATTACAAGTTCTACGAGTACGTGAACGCTTTTTACAAGTTGGAATATCGTAATCATGGTAATTACAATATTGCAGTTTTATTTTACTATTATTTTACATACTATTATAGTACTTATAAAATAAAAGCTGATTTGAAATGGTCATATTTTTGGTTTTCATTTCATTTTTTGTTTACATTTGCAGGTGACAACATGCAGGTGAGTACACAATGACAGAATTGTAATTTTTGGATGAAATATTCCTTTAAATTGTCTGTATATGATGTTTATTTGTATGATTCTGTGTTGTGATGTCTATAAAACAGCCAGAGCCCTGTATGAGCCCAGCTGTAATGAGTTTCCACCATCAGACTACCCTGTAGTGCCACCACTAACACCTTAGCAGAGCTTAGAATGATAGCAGTTGACATTGCCTCTCTTGAGGATCTATTTAAACCACAACACATTCTTTACCAGGGTAAAACTGAATTTGGGACTTGGGAATATAATAGGAGGGAATGGGGCATAAAACTATGTGTGTGGTACTTGTGAATTTGAGAGAGGTCATGGCCTCAGCTGGCTCTACTCCCTCTTTCCGCTGATAATAAGCATCCCATTCGTTCTCTCCATCTGCTCTCTTCTTGTCCTACTGTCCTCCCACACGTCCAGTACTAGGGTCCCTTGCTAGCCACCTGCAACATCTGTCTGCAGTGCTGCCACATGGTTAAGTGTCTGTACTTGTAACACAAGGATTGCAGGTTAGATCACATGGGTGGTTTTACCTAGGGTTACTCCGCTAGTGCCCCGTTAAAGGGATAGTTCAGCTAAAAATGCAAATTCTGTCATTTATTCTAGGGCTGCACAGTACTGGAAAAAACTGACATTTCAATCATTTTTATTCTGCAATATATATTGCAGTATAAAAAATACAGAAATTTCCACCAGATGACTTGAATAGCTATATGGAAAGAATAAATCATTCTAGAATGATTGGGTGATTTTGTTGGGGAGTGCATCTGCAGAGAAAATAAAAATAATAATAAAAAAAATAAAAATTAATTTTTATTTTGATGACTTCTTTCCATGTGAACCATCTTTGTAGCACTAAATGATAAGAAAAACTTGGGTTCACACTTGGGTACACACTTTACGCAACATTTTTCAGTAACCATAAAGTGAACCATAAAGTTAAAAATATCAGTTAGTTTAAAGAAAAAAAAAAAACGTTTTATTTTTTATATTTTCTGTTTTCTTTTTAACTGTTGGGTTTTATTAATTTTGTTGCTTTATTTTTCATTTTAAGTATTTTTTTATTTTTATTTTAGTACATCAAGTGATTTTTTTTTCCATTTTTGATTTTCATTCAACTTTTATTTTCATTTTTATTTTATTTTATTTTTTTATGGTTTTAGTTTTCATTTCATTTGACATTTTAGTTAACTATAGTAACTCTGTATAGTACACTGTACTATTACAGTACTGGTATTTATGTATTAATTTCTTTCTTTTTTCTATAAACATTAAAACGTCAGGCTTTTTTTGGGGGGGGGGATGGATTGCCAGCAAATGCATGACATATATTTGTCTTCACTCTGAAAGGGTAGTTATATATTTATTCAACTGAATCACAGCCTTTACGGTGACTATCGCAATAAGTCATATCATAATATATTTTATTCCGACATATCATGCAGCAATAATTTACTCGTTGTTCCAACCCTGTGTGACTTTCTGCGTAACACAAAAGAAGATACAGTTGTTAGAAGAGTTGTCTCAGAACTCATCCTTCCCTTTTGTGAAACAAATCTAAAACTTTTGTTTTGTTTTGTTAGTTAGCGTTCTTCTCAGAGGCTACCTCCGAGCGGTTGGGCCTCAGACGTGTGTGACTCGAATTCCCGGGTTTTGAGGGTATTGGTTGCACTTCCTGCTGTCTGAAGACAGCTCTGCCAATGATGCAGTCTCCCTTTAGGCTGGCCCCCTGGTACACCACTCCTTGGAGTCCTGAAATTTGGCTCACATAACATCCTGCAGTGTCGTGCCCCCCTTAACACTCGAAGTCATTGTTGAAACAGCACGTCGCTGTGGCCCCCTGTCCTCAAATGACATTCAGAACCCCCTCTGATCAGCTTCCTGCTGCGTCTCCATGAGCCCACAGTCACATAGAATATCAGCACAGCTCTTTGGGCTTGCCATTAAAACAAACATCCCCAGACACATCTCATGATTGGAGGCCCACGACTCGCTTTTGCGTCCCATTGGTACCAGTTCATTTATCAAACATGATTTCACAATTATATAATTTCTGGAAAACAGAAGGCTTTGGAAAACAAGCAGCTGCTGTCTAGTTCTTGTTTGTCAATGGTGCTGAATGATTATGACTATTGATGTGGTTTTCTGTGTGAAAATTTTTTAATATTGACCGGCATCATTAGCAATGAGCAGATAAATGTGTATATAATTATAAGAATGTGAAGCATGAAAGAGTGTATGCTATCATCTTTTGATGGATTGACCGCAGGCAACTAATCTGCTGGCATTCATTACGCATCTCTTACAGATGAACCAAATTTATTCTAAATATGTTTTTATCAACTCTGGTGATGATTGATTTCATTACGAGAGAAGATGGAGTAGACGTGCAGTTTAAATAGTGTTTCATTACTGGAGAAAAAAAGAGAAAATTAACTGCTATGTGACTATGAACACAAACAGCTTTCAAAAAAAACAAAACATAAATTTACATGACTAAACTCTTCTAAAAGTGTTTAAATAACTTAAAATATAAAATATTGACAGAAATTGTAATTGGGAGTATTTTTAACAGTGATCATTGATTCTTATTATTGATTTATATATATATTTATAGACTTTACAATTTTCCTTTAGCTAAATATATTTATTTATAATAAGATAAATAACTATATTGTATATTGTGTTGCACTCATCACATTTGTTTTTCTTTTGCCTTTTCAATGCTCATTGATCTTTGTGTTGATCTTAAAGTCAGACTAAATAATAGATAGATTGTTTAATGATTCAGTATTGGCCTAGTAAACCTTTTATGAATGTTTTAAATGTAAACATTAAAACGAATTAATTCAAACATAAATTTCTCTTGACTTTCTGGCTGATATAAAGGAACGTGGACAGACAAGGTTTAGTGAAACACAAGAGCAGCTTGTGGCTGCACAGGAAGTATCATCCAAGAAGAAAACGACAGCATGATTATTGTTTCAGACATTAATTGCATATCATCAGGAGCCCTCCTCATTATAATCACTGGAATTACTCAAGAAATTAAGACTTTTTTATTATAATCATGAAGTGATGAATTCTGGACTCATTTAAACTTCGTTTTTTTCTGAATTGTTATGATCTGTGTCATGCTGGAGAGCTTTTATTCATAACCGCAGGATATTCTGTCTATTATTTTCACTGATTCTTGAGACATATGACAAAACATGTTTCACCTGTCGTTAGTTTTGAAAATAGTTAGTTTTCTGCATTAATATTAATCAGAGATGATTGCTACAATGTTCTCAGCACAAATTAATCCTTCTATTTTTTCTTTATTTTATCAAAATTGTCTTAAATACAATGTGAAATACGTTTTACTATATCAAAATGTGTCCAACATGATTATTTGGTACATTATTTATTCATTTAATTATGTCCCACGAATCAGTGATTTGTACATTATACCATGTGATTATAACCAAGACACATTTTTCAGCATTTTTACGGTAAGAATGGCTCTATCATGTTAATCTTTCTATTATTTCAGAATGCATTCATATGCCAGTCATTTTGTTTTTTAATAGAATGGGTGATCTCTCCTCATAGAGACAATTATAGTAAAACGTACTGAGCTTGTAGCTAGACTCATTCAGGGACACATAATGGGTCAGGTTTATAGTCTGGCCCTCCAAATGTTTACGACGTGTCTCATGGTAGTATAACCCTGAGCATTTCGGAAGAAAATTAAGCCATAGTAATCCAGCACAGCCATCTAAATCGTTGTACTTTGGTTGGGTAGGTTAAATGCCTAAAAGAGCCATGAATCTTGTTGCTGAACGAGATATTTTGTGCTCTTACCGACCCATAACCAAGAAATGTTCTGGATCTTTCTTGCATCCTCAGGGCGGCGGTTAACGATATTCAACACCCAGGCCACTATAACAATTGGTGGTTCAGACCGCAAGAGGCCATTTCAGGGCCAACTATCCGGTCTCTACTACAACGGCCTCAAAGTGCTCAACATGGCTGCTCAGGGCAACCCTAACATCAAAATCAACGGCAGCGTCCGCCTGGTGGGGGAGGTTCCCTCCGCAGGTTCAGCCAGAACCACGGCCCTCCCTCCAGAGATGTCCACCACCTTTATCGAGACCACCACCACCATGTCCACCACCACCACGAGAAAACACCGCACTCCACCCACAATACAGGTACGACCCCAGACATACAAACACAAAATCAAATGAAGACTTCATGGGGACCTGTTATATAAACTGCTGAGACTAGTATTATAAGTTAGTCATCTCATTTGTTTTGTTTGAAGGCCCGTTCACAATAAGAATGATAAATATAAAAATAAAGATATTAGTGTCCAGCATTTCTAACATAATATAAATGGATGTAAATCTTCTTTTTCTGTGGCACAGTCTTTCACAAGCTTCATGGTCAATAAAGTCGTTGTCTTATAAAATATTCTGTTACACAACGGATAATGACAGTCTGTTTATTATAAACGCAAACAGTTATGTCACCTACTGCTTTAAATACTCGAGCTCTTTAAAGTTGAGTGGATTCTGATTGGCTGTCAAAGTTTTTATCAGTTGGAAAAAATCGTTCTGGAAGTGATTCCAACAATAGTGTTCCTCTGTTATCTTATTGTTATATATTGATTTATAGTTGTGGTGTGAATGTCCCTAATCTCATACAATTAGAACGACTTTTAAAACTATCTTTATTATAATCGTTATGGTTATCTTCCTTTGTGTGAAAGGAGGATAGAAAATCAATTGTTAATTGCTGCATAGCTATATTTTTATACTTCTATTCTCAGACTTTGTTTTATTTTTAAAACTTTATTTTTATTGTTATAGTTTTATTGTTTTATTGTTATCGTCTTTGGAGTGAATGGGCCTTATGATGATTATAGCTTAAGTCATTAAGTTCAAAGTTAAATTGGTCTAAGACCGATTTTTCCCTGCTATTTTAACATATGCTGTGTTTATGCGACTGGCATGTGCTTTCGCATGTCTGCCTACATCTCCTCATCATTTCTGATTTGGGAACTACACCACAAATAACATCTGGTCCAGATTTACAATTCAAATAAATGAGGACACAAATTTGTTGCAACACAACATGGAAAATAAATCTCCGGAATGGATTTGTGGGAGGTTTTCTGCACAGCTACACCTTCCATTCTGCAGAGCGTCTCAGTGCTGCTGACAGTGTTCTCCTTAATTTATTACGCTCTCAGTTTGGTCCAATGATTTCCAGTGCGCTTATTTGTCAAGCTTAGACCTATTTCTTCAGCTTTGAGTTTGCAGATGCAAATTTAACTGTGGGATTGAAATGAGAAACAATGATTGGACCGCGCCCAGGTCACATATGTCACATATGAGGACAGGGTAAACACATTGCAACAACAATACATTGTGTATGTGTGGGATGTCAAACTATAAATATGCAAAACAGAGGCTTTTGTTTCATTTAGGAGAAGTCACTCAACCAGGTGCGTCTGAATGATTTTCCAACAGTATGCAAACAACTTGTTCCAGTTGACGCGAGCACAAGCGGTGTCCACGACTTAATTTTATTAAGGTTGAGAGCCTCTCTGACACGTTTTTGTTTTTATGTTTTTCATAACCAAAGAGAATTGTTTATAACTCTCCACGTCCTTTAGATAAAGACATGAGAGCGGGCGAACAAAGCCACATTCGCACACTCTTGACAACCAAACAGAGTGCCGCCCACATAAAGTTTGACCGGGAGCCAATAAAACACTGTGGTTTGGCGAAATGTGATTAGACTGGCCATTTCATAGGCATCCTGGTACAAATTGAGCTGGTGGAAGTGATATTAAAGGCATCAGTCTCCTCTGTGTCTGAGACACATTTTGGCAAGAGACATTTGTAATCGTAAAGCCCCCACAGTTGACCGCATAAAGAAACTGTCAGTTCCTCTTCCTAGTCGGCACATTTGTTGAATTGAAATGCATCATTTTAATTAAGTAATTACATTTGTGGAAAATCAGTTGTTAATTGCTTCGTAATTGAAAGAAAATGTGAATGATATGTATTATCATTGCTGTCAGCGTTATTTGTCATGCGCATTGTGCTTTTACTGTCAGCAGATCAGTGAAAGATGTCAGATAACAGCTCTTTTCTACCTTCAGGTAACAAGAATCAAGGATCTCTGTACTTGTTTCTCTGTATGGAAAAAGCATACACCCAAAACACAAGCTTCTTCCACCCCAAAATCAGACCTGTGGTCTTCAAGAATCTCCCACAGATGCCTGAGGCTGCTGAAGGATCTAAGCATTCTTTGTAGCAACTTGTGTGTTGCTGCAAGAGAGCAACCAACCATTTGTGTTGTGCTTTATTGTTTTTTCTTTTATATTCATTCATTCATTCATAATATTTTAGCATTTAATCATTTAATTATTCAATTTAATCATACAATAATTTATAATAAAGAAAAGAAAAGAAAAGAAAAACTCTTTGGCTGACCTTGATTCAATCAGACAGTGGTTCCACATGTTGTTTGAAAGCAAACAGCATCAAAAAAGCATTTTGCATTTATATAATCGTTTCATTGATTCATTCATTGATCCGTCATTTAATATATTTTTTCATTGTTTTTCAATCTTATTGTGTGGTTTCAAGGGATATCCGTCTTCATGAGTAAGCCTTTTTTTTACATCATTGGACAATGATGTGAAGCACTACATTTTCATTGCTTTTGCTTTGGTGTAATAACACTTGCTGGATTTGTGCCGGTCAGACAAAGCTTGACTGAGCAGTAAAACAGACACAACTAAGATTATAAACTCTAGAATAAACCTCTGCTCTTCCCTGGCATCCTCTGTCTGCATCTTGGGCTGATAGAAGACTGTTAATACAGTTTTGGGTACTACACAAAATGCATTAAACTCTGATATTGGGTACCAGACAAAACTCAAACTCAAAAAAAACAAAGCGGATATTTTCTGACAGGATCTGCTATCCGGGGTTGGATCTGATATTCCAGACTCGATCTAGCATTTTTGGCATTGTTGGCAGGATGTCGGCATATCTAACAGTGCTAAAAGTGGTGTCCCAGTCCACAGCGAACCATGGAGATGGAAATTTCCATTTAGTTGACCATGTCTGACTTTAGCTGGAAACCGTAGATGCTCAGTGAAGCATCAGACCGCATTACAATCTGAGCACAAACAGGCAAAACACATGCAAACGCTGCAGTAACAAGAGAGCATGCATCTGCCTGGAGCGGAGCCACGCTTGAGAATAAAACTATTCTCTGTGACGCACTCTGGAAAACAGCACTGCTGTGGGTCTTGTTTGGCTTATGAGGCTAATAGATGTTCGAGAAAACACAACCATAGATTGTTATCTGATCTAATGAACCAGTCACAGTCACATATTGTGTACGAAAGGGTGAAAGACGTGTGATGGTATTAGAGTGAGTCATTTTGTTGGCCTCACTTAACATGACTGGAATGAAGCTTTTGGAAATAGATAATGATACACCCACTGTTGTTTCTAACGTGTTTATTTATGTATTCATTTTTTTAAATCCTCGTCCCACGCTCATTGGCCCATCTTTAGATTCAGGCTTTCATTTTAGTCACTATTCCGCTGTTAAGACTGACGCTTTTTGCGTTAGAATTTTTTTACATTTTAATTTTTCTTTGTCACGTCGATAACAAAATAGGTAAAAGCATTATTGAAATGGTTTGTATATTAACCGAAAATTGGTGGTAAGATGTCAAGTGATGAGTTTGAAATGAGAATTAAGAGCAAATACAGCCCTCGCTCACAACCTTGAGGATGAATGGAGGATTGTAGGTACTTGAGTGAAATTAGCAGGAGGACTCTCTTTAATTCCGATCAGTCTAGTAGGTCAACAGGCTGCTGGTCATGTTTGCTTTCTCATCTTCATTTGTGCAAACAGGATTGGTAAACAAGTGGTCTGTTACAGTTGGGGAAGGAATATAATTGTAAACTGCAATCCCCTACATGTGTTGGGACACGAGATCTATTTTTAAGCCATTTGTATTTGCATCGAACTGGAACAAGGTCTATGCATTTTATTCGGCTTAATTAAGACCAGGGCTGTAGAGACGTAGAGAAGCCAGGCTTGTGCGGATCTCAGCGTTGAACTCTTTCGAGGTTTGCTTAAGTACGCTCTGCTGTTCTTCAAAGAAATCCGTCTGGAAGAGAAGTCTTGAGAGACAGATCACAAGGAAGGGTTTTTCTTGTTTTAATCATGTTTAGGAAAGGTGCAGAAACCGAAAAGATATAGCTAAGCGTGATTTCTTGGCTTATGCTGACAGACAAACTACTCAGCATGTTAAGACAGTTAGCTTTAGAAGATTAGAAGCACAAAACATGTTGTTTTTTTAATAAAAATTAAAGAAAATTAAGGAGTTTAATATCTGATCATGTTCAAAAGAATCCCCAGCTAGGATGTAGTCAGGTTTAATGCGGAAGACATTTGTAAAATTTACTTTTTCTTTACTTCGAGGTCTATCTTTATTTCATTAATGTATCCGAGATTATTCGCCAGGCTGGATTGGTGATAAACCTCACACATGAGGGGTGTGTTTTCCTCTGGGCGTCTGAATCATTCATGTAAGGTAGGTTAATTGAGCTGCACATATTTTCATATCAGAGGGGTGGGATGATGATATGTATTTCAGGGCAGCAATTTCATTTCATGTCTGCAGAAAGCTGAGGGACTACATTTGGTCTCATACATCCTTTGGCCTCTAATAGGAGGGATTTTGGGCATTTATGGTCGTTCCATCCCAAAATCATCAAATCCTTTTCCTTTGCTGTACTGCTGAAATGTAGTACATTAAAGAACTGTGTGCCAGAGGGGATCAAACCCTTAGTGAGACACAGCAAAGGATTTTCTCTTCGAATTAGCCCACTTTCAGCCATGTTGTCATAAGTGATCTATTTGCTTTAAACAGGATCCCTGACAGAATGATTTAATGTGCTGGGCATTAGGATGGATAATGCATATTACGGTAGTGTTGATTTTATTAATGTTTCAGCTGATACTGTGTATAAGATCATAATGGAGTAAGACGGGACTTGATGATGTACCTGTTTTAAAGATGTTGTAAAGGTTAACGATAAAAGTGTTTAAAACTATAAGAACTAAGAGCAACTGAATTGGACACATCAGGTGCATTTGAAGCAATTTT